AATTCATAGCATGGCATATTGGCGACAGTTCAACTGAGAATCGTTTTTAAATAGACCTAGAATAATAAATGATGGAGTGGAAATAATCATATTGATGGAAATATTGTGTATAGAGGGCAAATAAATGTTATATAAATAATGGCAATGGAGCTACTAATATGAATTAATTGGAATTATCCCCTAGAGAGTATAAGATCGAATATTAGGGATTGTCTTAGAAGATATTTTATAAAGGATGTCAAGTAGAGTGAAGATATTGCAAAATGATTTAGTTGCTTTTTGGGTGTGCTCAAGTTTTGGGTAGTGAGATTGGCAGGTGAAAATACACCCAGGTAAGTGATTTCCCTTTCCCTTGGTGTTTGCGAGGGCGGAATTATGGAGTAGAGGGAATTGGTTAATTAGGCAATTGTATGGATAAAATTCATTTAAGTACTGTACCTACAGCATTGTTAACTCATTTTGGCTCGCCGAGAGTGAGTAGAAATTTCCATTCTAAACAACTATTGGTCGATATTTTAGTAGCTATCCATGCAGGAGTTATCCCTACAGTTATAAATACGACATTATTCATATAAGTAGTTTTATAGACTACTCATAATTCTTATAAATGAACTAGGTCGCTAAGGTGAATCAATTTCATCTACATCCTATTGTGCGAAAATTTGACTATTATTATCAGCTCAGGGTGACTGAGCTCTTATTCATAAATACGCCATTTTTGTCGACATTCCATCTTGAAGGAAAAATAGGTGAGAAGATGTTCGTCGTTTGGCCTCACCGGAAACCAAAGGAGAATGGCCTCCACGGCATTCAATTATCCTTAGGTTTCCGGTAGCGCAGGTCTGTTTGTGCCCAAACTCGTTGCAGGATTCGTGCTTAACTCTGATCAGGCTTACAATTTACTGAAGTGGGTTGACCTCGTTGTCGCAACTTGGTTTTGTTGTCAGGCCGACTATGTAGAACGCACTTAGTTCAAAGTCATCTGCCATAGTGTTGTCATGATTCCCAGCATCTCACAGTGGACTTTGTACATTTTCAAACGTTTCGCCGGTATCGTAGTCGGCATCATCGATGAACTTGTGGAGGGATTGACTTCACTTGTCTCTTTGACGAGTTCGTAGCTTGGTGCGGAGAATGGCAAAACTCACTGATAATGCCGGCGAAACGTTTGAGAATGTACCAAGTCCACTCTCTAATGCTGGGAATCATGACACTACTATGGTAGACGACTTCAGACTAGGTTCGTTCTACCTAGTCGCTCTGACAACAAGACCAAGTTACGACAACGAGGTTAACCCACTTCTATAAATCGAAAGGAGACTGCGACCATACCAGAGACCACAACATCTTGGTCTTCATATATTTACTATTGTCGATTTACTATTGTCGAAATTGCCATTCGACAAGAGTGGGTGAATGTAAGTACAGATTATAATCAAATACAACTTTGCTTCAACGACAATCCTACTGTAGAAAAGTTGTTTGACCTTGTTTTCGCAACTTGGTCATATTTGTAGGAAGACTTAGAGGAACACACCTAGTCCGGAGTCCGTTGTATGCATCATCATTTCCAGAGTAGGACCGTGGACAGAGACAAGTCTCTTTGACTAGTTGTAATATGGTGCTACGAATGGCGAGACCCACTGACGATGCCGACTACGGTGCTGGCGAAACGTCTGGGAATGTACCACGTTCACGGTCCTAATCTGGAAATGATGATGCATACAATGGACTCCGGACTAGGTGTGTTCCTCTAAGTCTTCCTACCAATATGAACATGTTGCGAAAACAAGGTCAACCAATTTCTATACAACGAAAGGAGACTGCGACCACACAAAAGGCCACACCATCTTGGTCTTCGTACATTCAAATCCTACTGTAGAATGTGATATGGGAAATTGCCTGGCCTTTCTTGAAATTCACACCTGCTCTGTCCTGGTCCGAGTCCCACTGGAGGTGTTGATACGACCTAGGCAAGGTCGAGAATGCAGTTCACTCAGTCTGGATGATAATACCACTTGGAAAAGCAAGGCTATGCGAAAGTAAATGGAAATGTAAGGTCAATTCATATTATTGTGGAAAAATTCAACCACCAGTCCCTATATACATTTGAACGAAATAGGGAGAATACCCTATTGGTAATCCCGAAAGCCTACTTATCAACGAAATGCAATCAAATAAGTCATCAGCAGCATCATTAACATTGTGCTCACCACGAAGTGTCCGTCGAGGGAAACGGTCCTCTGTCAGGGTTAAATCCGAGTGGTATGTTGCCGGGGCAACCACAGAACATTAATGATCATAGCGGCCCTAGGCTGCTGAGGGAATAGGATCCATATCTTTGAAGCGGGCCAACGGCGGAGGAGGAAGAGAGTAGAACTGGCGTGTTTAAAATCGTCTGCAGGCAAATTGGCCTATCCACAACAGGGCTCGAGTCCGAACGGGACTCGAACACAGAGGCTCAGTGGTTGGTGAGTGAGCGAGGCAGCGAGTGTAAGGCCTGAAACGGCTATGCCCGCCTGGCTGGCGTGTGTGATGACATGAATTGTGAAATTGAGAGAAAAGGAAGATAGAGAAACCAGTCCAGGCGTCAGTACCACGCCCCCGTGCGTCTTATCACCCTGGCCACAACTGCACTCCATCTGCAGGGCTGAGGCTTGCAGAAGAGACGGATAAAATGGGAGGAGCAGGCTTGACCGGACAAGAGATATCGAAAGAGAGCGAGGCCAGGACAGATGGAGAGGCAGAGAGGGCTGGAAGGGGGAGAGAGAGAGATAAGGACCAAGACGAGGGTGATAGAGAGGACACGCAAGACCTGCAGGCCTGTAGCCCAAATGAGGTATGGGACAGGCGAAGGTTCAACAATGGAACCAGCCTTTGAGGTACGAGGAGGAAAGAGTGTAGCTTTGAGTGCTCGAATAGAGCGAAATAGGGCCGGAGAGGGAGAGAATGATTGACAGCTAGATAGATAGACAAATGGATTGACTGAAGGGAGAGAGAAAGAAGACAAAAAGGCTGAATGACAGAATAATATATGACCACATCGACAACCTGCCCTTACCTGTCCCAGACTGACACGAGCGTAAGCGCGCGCAAACAAGGCTGGGTCATTGGTGCAGGCTCGTCTAAGCCCACACATACATACACGCACGCGCACGCGCACGCACACTCACACAAATACACACATACGAAAGCATACTGTCGAATAGAGATGTCCAAACGAGCCCAAATCGCCTCTTGTGCCTACACTTGGCCGAGTCAGGTGTTCACGTACAGACTAAACCCATCAGAACAGCAAAGCGCACACATGGTATGTGGACATACATACACACTCACACACACACATACGCATCGACACACGCACACACACACAGCCCTACTAGTGGATGAGACAAACAGCCCAGGGCCTAGGCAACCGCCAGTTTAGCAACATGACAGACGACAACGGCAGCAACAGCAACGGTTACAGCAGCGGCCACGAGAGCAGAAGCAGCATCAGTAGCAAAAAAATGGCAACACGACGGGCGGATGGGCTCAACTGCAGCAAGAGCAACGAGCCACTCGCCGGCGTGTTAGTGAACCAGAGTGGCACCGAATAGTATTGGTGTCAGCTCGTTTATCTTGTCAATCAGAGAAATAATAGCACTCGGAGCCAAGAGGAAATGGGGCTTATTAATCAATGACAAAAATATTTTTCTCATTTCATGTATATATATATACCTTATTCCCCAAAGCGGATACAATATATAAGGGATTGCAAGTAATCAGAGGCTTATCCGGACTCAAAAGAGAGGATTCGCCCAAAAAATGTGGCCTACAGAGCTTAACCCTGCCCAATTATGTTATTGTCTTTTTTTGGGCATGTTGAACCAGAGCGTATAAGGGATGGGTGAAAAACACTACTTTGATGCGACCAAGGGAGCATGGTTTCTCAGCTTAATTGAATGTGTGTATTTGAATCAAGCATTGCTGTCAGCATTGTAAATAAACACGAATGCTGTGCAAGGCAAGGTGATGTCAGAGGCTGAGCAAAAATTCCCAACCTACTCTCCACTGGGTACGCTGCTAATTATCTGTTTAAAAAGTGTCCCGAAGCAAGCATACAGACAGATGAGCGGCTTTACTTCAGAATTGCGTAAAGAAAAAAGTATATAAATATATATATTATATAATGATGATAATAATAATAATAGTGTATGAATGTATTATTATTATTTATGCCATTTAATCTTCGATATCGTAAGTTTACTTTGACCTACACTTCCTGCATGTCTCGCGCTCAACTTTCTGTTAGCAAGTAAAAGTCCAAGTTATTTAGCATAAGGTGGTGAATGACTAAGAATTGAAATGTATTCCCCTTATTTTGTTTGAGGTGAGGAAGGACTGATAGTAGATTTTTCGCACAATGATAGAGCTGACGTTTCTGTTGAATGTCAAATAGCCTTGCTTTCT